TGCACTTAGGAAATATCATTTTTTAAAAATATCACAAAATGCCACAGAAATTCTAGTCTGTGGAAATACTGCTGCAGAATTTGGATTAATTTTGCTGCAAAGGTTTGGTTATCAACACAGTGAAATAGAGGAACGTTGTCAACTGCGTAGTTTTTATCTTTTCCATGGATGATTTTCATTTATTTAATGTTACAAAAAACACTCAATATTACTAGCAGTAGCTGTGAGGGGAATTCAAACTCTCTATTAAAGTATTTTGTACATTTGACAAATATTTTTGTTGTTTTTTTCAATAATATCTTCTTTTCATCCCATTTCCTACTTTATTTGAGTGTTCCATATTGCTAGAGGTGGGAGAAGGTGACTGTGTCTCTAAAACAGAAAAAAAACCCAGCTCAAATAATTCCACCCATTTATGGTGGTATGAACCCTACCTTGCTGGAGAGCAAAGGGGACCAAGGCAAACAGTTCTGTGAGTGTAATTCAGCAAGAGGATAAATGGGAGTGGGAAGCCTCAGGGATGTCTTGCTGTCATTGAACCTAACTGTAAAGGAAGTAAATAACAACAACAATAATAATAATGATGATGATAATAATAATAATATTATTTAATGGTTCACTCTAACCTATCCAGAAAGTGAATCTCTTACCAGATAATGTAATTGGTGCTGGCTGAGGAAGTGTTGCTGGAAATTAAGATTTATGGATTACAGACAAGATAAATAGAGACATTCTGATAATTGTTTGAAGCAATGTTTTATGCAGATCCTGAGTGTGATCAATCACTGAACTCCAACAATGGAAAAAGCCTCTGAAGAGACAGGCAGCGGCAGCATGCTCATGAAGCTCAGGTGAGAATGCCTAGAGTGACTGACAACAGGTGTTGCACAGAAAGTTGAACTTCCCTTGACACAAAGAGAACTGGAGGGTGGCCTTTGCTCTGGATAAATGTCTATATCAGCTAAGTGAATCAACACTCTCTAGAACTGCTCAGCCCTGACTTAATCAAAAGAGCGCAAATGTCTTCTTGTGTTAGCCGGACCAGGATGAAGAGTGTGGACATGAGACAACTCTTTGAAATAGCCCTAGACTTCTGAGACTTCTTAGACTTCTTACCATAGTCTTCCTTGTCCTGGGCTTGAGCTGCCTTTCACCCATGTATCACTTCCCAGCAGCTGAGGATGCCCACCATCATGATGGTGAGTGTGCTATAGAGATCCATGATAAGAAACATTTTATTGTGAATCAGCTGTCTACTGCAATTGCTATAGGCTGCTAAGTATAATTTGTATTTGTCTTGTGACTTATGTACATTGCTGCTAAATCAAAATCCCATGTGACATCAAATAATTTCAGGCAAGTAAACTTGGTATTAAACATCAACACATGTCCCATCTCATCTCTTCCCCCTCCCAAGCATGAAATATCTAAAAGCACCTAATTAGTGGGTATTGGACTCTGACACTGGATCAGATGTGCTGAGTGGGATCCAGGACAGAGCAAGTATCAACTACCCCTTAGCTTACACCCAAGATCTACTAGAAGGACGATAGATGCAGGTGTTCATTGTGGGGACAACGGATGCAGGTATTCCCTGGGGAAAACCACTGGACCAGAGTAGCCACAAATTCACATCGGTGGCATAACAATGCTGTGGGCACCCCCTGTTCCCTCTGCACCTTGCTCTGACTTCTGGGAGACGTGGTTGCTCTGAGTCCTCACCTTCCCCTTCCTATGACACTTCTGTCCCAGAAGCTTTACGTGTAGGTGTAACATCAGTTACTTGCTGTACCTGTTAGTTTATCTAAGAACGAGCTTTTATTGTCAGCACTAAAATACTTTGTTTATGCAGGTCTTAATGTGAGATGGTCACATCTGTTTTTCTCGAAGGTATTTATTGTTGTCTACTACAAGAAGGACAATTTGGGGGGAAGCTGTGATAACTGAGGGTACCACTCTTACAAGGATGAAGAAAACAATAACAGTATCCCACTACTAAGTAACAATTTAAAAAAAAAAAGCACAACAGGTGTCATAAAAACTATAATTCCATATGAACAGAGGAAGCTGTAGGGTTGGGATATTAACCTAAAAATATTTCCTATAGGAAATAAACTTAACCACTAACAATAATATCAATACCATATTCTAATATAGTGCTTTTCATTAGTATATTTCTAAGTGTTTCACAAATGAGGCATAATTGTTCCACTTTATATATGTGGAAGCTGAGATGTGACAATGTGACATGACTTTTACACGTCCTGGAGCAGACTAGCAGTAAAACTGGGAACACACCCTTGGTCTCCTGAGTGCTAACCCGATGCTTGATCCACTGGCAATGCTGCGATCCCCTTCTGCCATCTACAGTATACAGTCTAGCTTCATCAAAGTCAAATTTGTTAAGTAGCATCACAGGAAGCAACCTATCACACAAAGATCTCTGCAGCATATATCTGGTTTCTTGCACACAGAAATGGCTTTCATTCTGATTCATGGGGTGCTTTTGCAGTATGAGATGTTAACATATTGGGGAAATAACATCTTACAAATCAAGCACTGTTAAGGGAGTTAGCAAATGAAACAGATGCAAGACAAGATGAAGTAGATGCAATATAGCATGCACAGAGCAGAGGTACTTCCTGCCTCCCTCCCTGCACCCGTCCTGTGTTGGCCTAAGCCACCCAAGCAACTCAAGAGAGAAACCCAGCAGAAAAGGAAGGAGCAGTTTTTAGAGGAAGGAGAAGGAGAATATCTGCCGACTGTTCTTCACACACACCTCAAAGAAAGCAGATTAGGGACAAAGGAAACTATGGTGAAGGGAAGTCTCAAAAGCATATAGTCCAGAACTATTTCAAAGAGTGTTCTTAGACCGCTGAAACATCCAGATGAATTCAAAGGATGGTGAAACCAGAGAACAAATGGGGTCCCCAGACATTAACACATGTTCTTATTTATCCCATACATGCACTGAATAATCTGAAGAATCAGTTGGACTTTCCTACCTCAGCAGCACCGGTGTGTTTGTTGGGCCCAGGGAGCTTTCCAAAAATGGTTTTATAACTAAGCTGTTTGGTCGTTCTCACCAGATAGGCTCTTTGGTCTCCTGCTTATCTTGCTCCAGCCAGAAAGCAGAGTGACATCAGTATTCCCACAACAGCGGTAAGGCCACAAGGAGACCAAAGGTGCAGGGATGTGTAGAAACTGAGGCATGCCATTCTTACCTGCCAGTCCTTGAAGTCTGCATTCACTACTAGCCTGTTGTTCCCCAATGTGGGAGAGCTGAGAGATGCCAGAAACACTCGGCACAGGACTCTTAATAAATCCTCACACATTTTAGGTGACCAGTAGCCCCGAGGCTGCTTTTAGATGTTTCGCTCTAACTTCCCTGAGATTCAGTGAGATAGTCCTCAATCAGCAATATAATGTTCCAAATTGTTTTCAAAATCAAATTCACCTCCCTGTAAAATGCACATTTAACCCAGTTAACTTGTAATCAGAGCTGCAGCAATTTGGATGTGTCCATTACCTTACTGCTTTTTTAATGATTACACCACCGTAAGACATAAGCATCTCTAGTTAGCTAGTACATCTTATCCCTACAGCAGCATTGCTGAAGTAGGAAACTATTCTTTTAAAAATGGAGAGTGGAAACCATGAAGATCTGGTTCATGTCTCTTAAAATCAAGGGGTGGAAAGCTTGGAGCAGAATAATTTATACTTCATTGCCTTAGCCTTAATCCATCCTTCTCTTTCTAGTCCAAGCTTAGAATTTGTTATAAAATCACTCCCCATGCACATTCATGTCAATTTAGAGAACAATTAAAGGTCAAGTCTTGACAGCAAGATACTGTGACTTAGGTCAAGAATCAGCTGTCCATGTAAGATGCAGGAATTGGACAGTTTCTGTAGTGTAGCTGTGCAGCAGCTCTGAAATTTGTAGATTGTAAACCTCATTTTCTTTTGTACAGTGTCTAAGCACAACCATACAAACTGGATTTCCCAAAGGTGGTGAGGCAGGCTAGGCCACTCAGAAAAGCTGTGATGGGACTGTCAGGCATGACGAACGCGGAGAGAGCAGCGGTGGGTAAGGAGTTTGGGGGTGGAAAGTGGAGGGGGCCTGCTGCTGTGGTTCCTGGCTACCAGCAAAAAGAGATAAGGATGTTTAGCTTGGTGTGCACCTGGCTTACGCGTCAAAGAAAAAAAAGTGCGTTGTGGTTGAGAACTGGAGACAGCCAGAGCTCACAGGGCATCTGTATTTTTGCCCCAGCCCCAGATCACCTGCTATGCCTCTGGCAGAACTGCCATTTGGATTTGTGTCAGAACAGAAGTTAAAATTGAGTGGTTTTGAATCTGTACCAAATTGCCAGAAATACTTCCTGACTGTTCTACCTTTTACTGTGCTGATGTTTTAAAAACTTTCTGGTGAATATGAGCGCTAGCTACAATAGTGTAGGGCAGGTTACAAAAGAATGGCCATTTGTATTCAACGCAGACTAAAAAGCAATGTGAACCCATGGGAAAAACGAGGCTATAATAGTGCAAGTGGCAGATTTAGAGTGCCCTGTGTGGGATCGTGATGCAACACTCACAGCAACACTTGCTTGGTGGAAATAAAGTCTCAGTGAAATGTTGAAGACCGAGGATGACAGAGGGAGTCAGGAATTTTAGAGTGGTTGCATGTCCGTAATTGTAAAATTGTTTAATTCTCATTTAAGGCTAATTTAATTAGGTCAGGTAATTCAAGACATAAATCATGATTTACTGAAAGTGTTTTCAATCACTCCAGCTCAGTAGTGGCCGGAGTTACTGTCATTAAATTGTTGGACTTGGCTCGTTTCCCGCTATACAAGCACTGCGAAGCGGGCACAAGGACCTGTGAACCAGGAGTTCCCTTAGAGACATTTAAAAATCTTTAAGCTTGGGGTTTTCAAATGCACCCACAAGATTTTGAGGCCACCCTCCCTAAAAAATTTGGGGCCGAGAGGGGTAGTGTTTCGATGGAGCCCCCAGGAGCTCTAGCGGTACCACGGCCCGACACCGCCTCAGAGGAGACCCTCCCCTGCGTCGCCCCCACTCAGAGGGAGGGCGGGCGGGGCCCACCTGTTGGGTGGGCGCCGCACGTGCCGCGGCTCCGCCTCCCCCTCCCCTCCCCGCCCCGCCCAGCGGGGGTAGATGAAACAGAGCGAGTCTCCTTTAAACGCAGGCGCACTGCTGGCGGCGGGATTGCGCAGGCGCAGTACGTCTCCCTCCCCCTTCAGCAGGCAGCGGGGGAGAGGTTTGTCCCTGTGCGGGTACCGTCCGGAGCAGGGGTTGGGGGGGCCGGGAAGAAGGCGGGTGGGGGTCCC